AAACGTTTCTGGATGATATCACCCCGGCAGATAACAATCATCATCCTCATCGCCACCACGCCCATCATACCCATCACCATCCCGACTCCGGAGACGAGGATCACGATACCCATGATCTTTCCCTATCCCCAAAGCATGTTACACGCACCTCAGTTGTGGATAACATGCTCCTATCCCTGGACCAATTCTCTGTCGGGGACCCACTTGATTCTTCCCGACTTTTCGGCACCAGCTCAGACCCAGAGCCGCATACCATATACACCCGGTATTCCTCTACGAGATCCAGCCGTCCTCGTGGTCACACTTTCTCCTCCTCTTTTTCGTCCGATGTTGATGCCCACTCAGAGGACAATTCCGGTCGTTATTCGAGCCAATCCATCCGCGGTCGCCGCAGCAATAGCAGCTCTAATTACCACCCTGGTCTTCGGAGGATTGACAGTGTTCGTGGTGGCGGAGATCGTGGCAAAGTGTATGATGCTCAGCGCGCTGTAACTTATGCAGATCGACCGCTTACCAACCGAACATCCAGGCTCAGAACAAAAGGAAGTAGTAGGAGCAGTGGCTCTTCCAGCCTTGACTTTAATCAGATGATGGCCACCAGCCGCCCGGGTCAACACTTCCGGGAGCGCAGGTCTGCCAGTTTTGACTGCAGCTCCCGTTTACCACCCTCCCTGCCGCTGGTTGACAGTTTAGGTGGCTTCGATGACTTTGTACATGACAATGGTTTCCAATACGATGACATTGATGCAGCCCCTAACCCTACCGTTCCTGCAGGTCCCCGACGCAACAATTCTCCTCCTCTCCACGAATTCCCCTACAACCAAACCTTTCCAACCAGCATGCGCACACCTGCCTTGGCCCGCAAGAACAGCAGCAAATCAGCGAGGAGCATGCACATAAAAAAGGGACGCTCGGATACCCTTGGGACCGCGACTATCCGGGGTCACGGGTATAGTTCAAGACCATATCGTGGTCCTATACCGGATTTCCATCCTATACCAGCCTACAACAACCTGCAACCCGCTCCCAGTCCAACGGTTGCATTCCACAAATCATCCTACCTCGCTCCGCAGCCAGTGGTCAATACCCCTTCACCTGCCCCAAAGGAGCGTCCTGGATTTTTCCGTCGTGTTTTTGGTGGTGGTTCCTCAAAATCACAAACCCCAACGCAGTCCGAATCTCAATCTCCATGCAGCCAGCAGGAAAATGGTAGCCCACGGCGACCACAGGAGCAGTATCAAAGTGCTATTGCTTCCAATTTGTCCAAGGGACAGAAACAACTGCTGCAAAAGGAGCACACCACATCAACAGGAAACAATAACACATCGAGCCGCGAAAATACACCCGTAATAACCAAGAAGCCTTCATCTTTCTTCCGCCGTCGCAAGAAGTCCATCACAGATCACGTTCCGCCGCCATTGATACTGCCGCAGTCTAATATACATACTGCTGCTGTTGATAATAACTTTTTGAAACCAGATCCATTGAAACTCGACCACTGCCGAGTGGTCGGGTTGGGTGGGCCCGAACCAAGTCCCGTTAGCAGTCTTAGGAGAGTGATGAAGCCGTACTTGAATGCGTCATATCTGGTGGATGATGATACGAATCTTGATGATGCGGATAATGAGGTTTCGGGCAGTGAGGTGCTGTTGTCTGCTGCTGAAACTATGCGCACTACCACCACCGCTACCACAACTAATATGAATAAAGTTGATAGTTCCAAGGAGCGATCGTTGACCCAGGTGACGAACCCTAGTTATCTGGAGACAAATAAGGACAATAGTAGTAACAACAATCCCCATTCCAAAAACCCGAGGAATGCAAGCTCGATAAATTTCAAACCTGGGCTTAATCTCAATCTGCCTTTACATGATCGTGAAGATTCGTTCCTGGATGACAGCATTGGCAAAGAGGGGAATAGTCCCGCAAACCCTAATTCTAATGAGAGATCTGGATCTGGACGGCCCATGACTAGCCCCAACGCCCAGAGTCATATGAAATCAATGATGACGAGAAAGTCCCAGGATTCGATGAATGGCGAATTGAAAACTTTTGGAACAAATGGAAAAGCAACTTCGAGTGCGACTGGTTTTGGTTCTGGTTCCCGCGCGTCACATGCTGTCTCACATCCACAAGCACAAGCACAACAACAACAACAGAAACTATCTTTACAAAGTAAACATAGTGCAATTGATGCGATATCTACAGTTATGGCAAACTTCGCATCTATGCAGTGTCTGAGTGATAATGAGAATTCCCATGCTCATCCTAGACGACAATTGCAGAGTGGCGAGAACGATTGGTTTGAGAACGATTCCTCCGTGGAAGCTCCCAACAATAGAGTGAATCGACCAGCGGAGGGAAACAGTATATCCCCGCGCGCCTCATTATCGACCGTCTCCAATTATCATACTGCGTTGAATACTCCTAGTATTCCTGATGATGATGTTACTGTTAGAAGATGTAAGCCGCCAACGCTTCCACCACTGCAGATGGAGATACACACCGAGCACGAGCATGAACCCAAACGGGATGATGGAAAGGTGGATATTGATAATATTATTAATGATGATGATAATGATTGCGAGGGTGAGGGTGACACTACCATTCTCGCCAGTAATTCTGTTAGCGGGGAACCAACTGAAGTGGACAGAGCGCAAGCGCAAAGGATTTTCGACGAAGCTGAGGATTATCGAGATCGACATGACAAGGAGCCTGCTGCTGCGTGGTTGGGGAACCCTGGCCGTGCCATGGTTCGGAAAGCGTATATGGAACTTTTCGATTGGAGGAATGTGAATATTTTGATGGCGTTGAGGGGGCTGTGTGGACGGCTTACGTTAAAGGGAGAGACACAGCAGGTTGATAGGATTTTGGATGCGTTTTCGTCTAGGTGGTGTGAGTGTAATGAGGAGCATGGGTTTATGGCGACGGGTACGTATATGGGCACTTGCCACTACTCTGGATTAACTAAGATTTTTGTGTGTCGTATTTCGTTTTGCTAATAGGTATTTTCTGCAGACGTTGTACATACAATATGCTACTCTCTACTGCTCTTGAATACCGATCTCCACATTGCTGATATCGAGCAGAAAATGACGAGAAATCAGTTCATCAAGAATACAATGCCCACTATTCAACGGGTTGTTTCTGACGCTAGGCCAAACGCCTTTGAGCGTTCACACTTGGGAAATCTTTCTAGCAAGCCGCGAACGGTAGTGAGGGCCAGCGGGACTGCCAGCCCTCTTGCTGGGAAGTCGCCTACGCTTCGCCCTGTTCAGCATAAGGGTCACGGCTCGCTGGATATCAACGTTCCCAGCAGCAATCTCTCGAAACCAGTCGATGCCACGGCGAGGACGAACTCTATGTGTACCATTCCGACAAACTTTAATGCTGAAGTTTCTTCGGCTGATGCAGGTCCGCTGGTTTCAACGCCATTCCGCGGCACTCAGCGAGCGTGGGAAGTACAGATTGAATCCGTTCTGAAGGATTTTTATAATTCAATTCAGAAACAGATGTTGCCTCTGCGCGGGGCGCCTGCAGAGTCTGAGGAATACAACCATCAGCAGCATTCGAGCAACTTCCTGACGTTGACGGGGAACATGCTCCGGCGGACTCCTAGCACATTGAGCAAGAGCGGGTCTGACGTTTGCCAGAGGGGTCGGACTAATGAAAATCGATTATCAACAGCGCGCTGGTCGTCGAAACCTAGGTCTCGCCCGAGAATGTATCCTACGTCCAATATTGGTTCTAGCCGTACCAGTCTTGATGAGCAGTCCTCTATCTGGTCGCCATCTGCGTCGAGTACATGGAGCAAACATTCACTACCCAAGACGATGTTGTCAATGTCTGTCGATTCTTTTGGGCCCGAATATCCTCGAGGAGACTACCAGCAGTCAATCGGCTTTGCGAATGCATTGAGCCATGCGATTATCCGTGAGGATTCCGCTAATGCCAATGCCATGGCCGGCATGGATGATCCGGCGCGCGCAGCTTCGTTGCTGGACGACGAGACGCTGGAACTCGCGGGGGCACCATGGGCCAAAGAGGGGAGTTTGAAACATAAGCATCACCTCGACTCTGTCGATAAGCGGTCAAAGGATCGGAATTGGAATGAGTCTTTCGCTGTCATACAGCGGGGCTGGATGCGACTGTTTTCGTTCAACGCGTCGACAAAATCGATGCGTGTGAAGTCGAAGAACAGGCAGAATGGTAGTGGTAGTGGCGGCCTTGTCGTGGGCGGCGGCAACTGGACTGAGAATGCAGAAGAGACGTGGAAGTTCCTGCTGCGTCAGACTATTGCCAGCGCGCTGCCATCGCCAGGCTACTCCAAGTCCCGCCCGCACGTGTGGGCTCTCAGCTTACCCACTGGCGCCGTCCATCTGTTCCAAGTCGGCACGCCGGAGATCGTCAAGGAGTTTGTCTCGTCGGCTAACTACTGGAGCGCCCGATTATCCAAGGAGCCACTATTTGGTGGCATCAGTAACATCGAATACGGCTGGAGTACAGCAGTGATCAACACAGCGCTCATCCATAACAGCAGTGACCCCTCCTCCCCACCACCGACAACAACAACATCCACCTCCTCCAACGCGCCCCGACCAAGTTTCCAAAGCTCACTGCGCACCTCGCTGGATCAGCAAAGCGGAGCGCACGGTAGTGTCCGCGCCCGCCTCCCCGCAGACCGCATCCATATCGCAGACTGGACGCCGCCGCAGCAAAGCATGATGGCCTCGACGCTCACGGAGGCGGAGCAACTGAACACGCTGCGCAGGTACGTGAAGCATGTGGAGGAGGAGTTGCAGAGGCATAATGAGCTGCGGTCGGCTATGGTGTTGGCGTTTACGCCGCGGCATCCGAATGCGGGAAAGGCGATGGCGAATTGGGAGAGGAAGAGCTCGTATTTGCTTCGGGAAATTGTGAAGTTTCGGACGTATATTGATTGTTTGGTGTTGGCGGGGGGGTTGAGGGAGGGGATGAAGAGGGGTGGTAAGGGTTCCGGGGTTGTTGTGCCGCTGGCCGTGGAATTGGAAGGTGGTGGAGAGGAGGTGAAGGCGAAGGCAAAGACAGTGATGCCGACGGTGAGGAAGGTGGAGACGGATGGCTCGTCGCCATTTGAGAGGTCGCGGACTATGAGTTTCAGTTCTGCTTCATGATGAGCCTGGGTTATATCTGTCTTCTGTGTGGTGAAGGACCCTCCGGTACCACCCACGACTAGTCTCCTCCTCGTTCTGCCAACCTGGCACCCCTCCCTTCCTCTCTCCGTTGTACGATTTCGTTTAGCGACATGATGTTACTTGCATCATACCTCTCTTTTGTTAATTTTTGGGGACTAGAGAAACACGTCGCTGGAGTTTAAGTGATGGTTCGGAACCTCATGTGAAGTCGACACCATTTAACTACTCTTACTATCGCCGTTGCCATTACTATTTTTTTTCTTTTCTTTTTTACAAACGACTGCGGAAACGAAAACAATCTACCTCTCCTTCTCACTCTGACTTTGCTCTT